CGGCAGATTGCGCATTGTGGGCACCATCGAGCAGGATAGGCTCCGCACGACCAATCAAAGGTTGGAGGACAATATTTTGCAAACGGCCCGGCCATGTTACATCGGCCAAATATGGAAGAAAAGAGAACGCATCCATCTCAGGTCGTAGTTGAGAAAGGGCAAGACGAAGCGCAGAGACTGCGCAGCACATGTTTTCTTGTTGGTGAGGCTCCAGATCAAGCTTCTGGAAGTAAGGTGCAAGTGCCGGAGCTTGTTCGCAGACCGTTGCAGGAGATACAAACAAGGACTCAATACCCAGTTCTTGAATATGAGCCCTCACTGTTTCAACCACTTCCAGACTGTTTGTATTGTCTACCACACAAGGGACTCCAGGTTTGAGGATGCCCGCCTTCTCACGAGCAATCTGCCCAATCGTTGATCCAAGGAAAGCCTGGTGGTCCACCCCTATCTTTGTGATGACCGAGACAAGAACATTATTCAGGATATTTGTTGCATCTAGACGGCCTCCCATGCCCACCTCAACCACACCAACTTCGACCCGTTCATGGTTGAATATCTCGAACGCTGTTGCGGTCAACAACTCGAATTCGGAGGCACCGATGCCTAGGGTTTGATCTCGTAGTTTGACTTGGTCTTCAATCTGTCGGAAAAGGGATTCTTGGACCACTTTCTCTCCAATTGTAATACAGTCCCACCGATCAATTAAATGCGGGGAAGTGAAGCGGCCACAACGCACTCCGCCGGTGGACAGCAAATGGGAAAGGTAGGCGCTGATAGATCCTTTACCGTTGGTTCCAGCAATGTGAATGGCCTTCCATGAGAGCGGAGTCTGCTGAAGCAAACTCGCGACCCGACTCAATCCTAACTCAATCATTCCTCCGAGTGTAGCGTGATAGGAATTTCGAGGTCAATTGTCATTATCGGCCAAAAGATCCGCTAACAAAAGACAGATTCGGGGCCTCAAAGCTTCATTGTCAGTAATAAAAGCAAAGTCAGAATGGGCCAAGGCTACGATAGTCCACCTTCCAAAGTTTGGAGCTTACCGTGATCGGAGGCACAGACCCACGTGATATTCCACTTATTTATGCCTCAGGCATAAATTCTGCAGTCTTTGCTACAATAAAAGTGAATAGAAAAGTGCCTATACATTCATCTATCCATTCACGAGTTAATTCAATCAAGGAGTTTTACGAAGAGATCCTCTATATTGATTGCGTAAAACGACATTTCACAAGCGTGCTACTGAAAGATTGCCTGAACAATATACACGTGACCCAGCCACTCTAGCCACCCCCAGCCTCAGGCGAAAAAAACCCAATCTCCCCCGTCTCCATCGACCATCTCCACCGTTATCGCAAGTCGTGTTCTACTAGTTCGATAATTGCCTTTTCAATAATTTGTCCTTCTTTTTCAAACGTCTTTGTCTTTTTCCTTCCTTCCTTTCAGCCCCAAAAGCAAAATGGGTATCCCGTAAGTCATCCCATCCTTATATTGGCGCGCGAAGCTACCGCATGCGCCACTGCTTCGCGATACAATGTTGACTTTGATCTTTAGTATGTGGCGTGAGCCTTCCAAGTCTGAAGCATCCAAGTCCGCTTTAGAAAAGGACCCATCTTCTACTGCACGCTCGTCCATTCGCCGAGGACCGTCGCGGCACAGTAGCTCCCGCGTGCGCCGTGGCGATATCCTGGCTTCGTTTCATTCACAGGTCATTGATGAGCTCCGCCGCGGCGGCGTGGAACCTAGACGCGTGCCACGCTTTTCTTTCATTACACCACACGGGGCTATCGAGAATGCAGTGGCTATGGAGCAGGCCGATCGCGATGCTCTCGTCAACTGGGCTCAGTCGCGCGCCGCCGCGAGACAGGCAGAGACAGCCCCACAGACAGAGAGAGAGCTAGCCAACCAGATATTCAGGGATCATCGCGATCAGGTCTTGACCGATATGCTCGGCCGCATGGACGGTCAGCCTAGAAATACCCATGCCAGCCCTTCATTGACTCCCAACTTCGCTCCCGCTCTCGCATACCACACCAGCGCTTCTTCGACTCCTTCGGACAGCAACGTTCGTCTCCCCCCTATGCGTGACAGATACAACAGTGATCGCACCTCCAACACCTCATTCCCACCAGGAATACCTGAACACCGGTCTCACAACACGCAAACTCGACGAACCCGAGACCCCGTCGTAGACGGGCTGGGGGATCGCCAGCGCAGTCCCAGCCCAGACGGAGAGCGGGAAACCGATGCGTGGGAGACTTTGCTCTCGACAATTACACCCGATGCGACTCTTCCATCAACAAATACCTCTTTCGCTTCAACTTCTGCCGCTGTTCCAAATATTTCGCGCAATGCTCGTCCTCGAAGCTCTGTCAACTTGGCGCAGCCGACTACCGCGGAAGCTGCCCATGCTAACTTCGGACTTGACCCCTATCCTGACCAACTGAACCCTTGCGACTTCTCTTCCGATGACGAGGATGGATCCTCTGCCCTCCGAGAATTCATGGGACGTGCAGGCATTCTTCCCGACCAGCATTCGACCATGAGCAACCATCCTCCCGTCCCTGTCCCTACAATCATTCCTGCAAGCGTTCTTGCTCTTTCCGACGGGCACGACCGAAATCTCTCTCTGTCCGATCGGCATCACCAAAACGATGATCTCCGCCACATGCAGGTCATCCTGGATCGACTTGCCCGCCGTGAGGATATTCCGGACGACTGGTGGGCCGCGGCTGGCCTTGCACGCACTCTCGACCGTGGTCTAAATGCGAGCATGGACTCCACCGATACCGAGGGCGCTTCTCGAACCCGTCGCAACAATTGACTACGGCCGCCTGGTTTGTGATACTGAATGACATGAGAATTGATATTGGCGATATTGGCAATGGCGTTTTCCGGCGATTTTACCCGGGCTCTTTTCTAGTTTGCTTTTGCGGCAGCGTTGACAGGTCCTTTTAAGCCTGTCTTGTGATCTTAATATTCTTGTCTCCATATTCTGTCCGGTTTATCTATTGCCGATTATCATTGAACAAACGGACATCGACGACCATTTCCGGGTCTCTTCAAGCTTCTCTTTCGGCAATTTTGCTCTTGTAGATATTTTCATATTTTTGATATTCTGAATCCCTGATGGCCTAGATGAATATAGAACAAGCATTTAAATAAATACATACTCTGTGTACCTGTCGAGTTCAAGTGACGTATGCCTCGGAGTACAGCAGTCCCCACATCAGTGAAGAGCCCCGCCAATATGTTCGGGGAAGTTATGCCTAGTCTAACAACTCAAGGAAGTAACAATCATAACAAGTAGTTAGATCAAGTGTCAAACATTGCTTGCGCGCCTATCCGCAACACAAGCGTATCACAACTTCCGCAACCCCACCCTTCCTCGGATATTTCTATCATACACATTTGATCCCAGGCGTGCCCTCACTAGCCAACCATGGATCAACAGGTAGACCGACTGGTCAACAAGACCTGGGGTAAGTAAACCCCTATTTACGCAAATACAAGAATAAGCACAAGCTTGAAACATGCCTCCATGACGTCCCACGTCCTCTCGAACCTCATCCCGTCCAAAACGCTAACAACCCACCCCAGCAAAATTCTGCTCTACAGCAGACGACGCGCGCCTAATGATCGCCATCAGCGGCATCCCAGGCTCCGGCAAGACAGGCCTAGCAACGATGATGGCAGCGCGAATTAACAAAATCTACACCTCGGAGAACCCAACAACACCAACACCGATAGCCATCGCCCTCCCAATGGACGGGTACCACCTGACGCGCGCACAGCTAGCCGCTATGCCAGACCCTGTGAATGCGGCGGCGCGACGAGGTGCGGCTTTTACTTTCGACGGCGACAAGTTCCTCGAGCTTGTGCGGGCTCTGCGAGAGCCGCTTACAGCCCGGACGGGCAGTCTCTACGCGCCAAGCTTTGACCATGCTATTAAGGACCCCGTTGATGGGGATATTGCCATTCCGGCGATTTGTCGGGTGGTGTTTTTCGAAGGGAATTATCTTAGCTTGGATCGGGAGCCATGGAGAACGGCTGCTGCATTGATGGATGAGCTTTGGTTTGTGGATGTTGATTTTGAGGTTGCGAGGAAGAGGTTGGTGGTCAGGCATGTCAAGGCTGGGATTGCGGGAGATGCAGTTGAGGCGGATAAGAGGGCTAGAGAGAATGATTTGGTTAATGGGAGGGAGATTGTGGATCAAAGGTTGCCGGTGCAGGAGGTTGTTTCTAGTATTTTTGATCCTGTTTGGGAGAAGTTATGACGAGGGGCCAATGTGTTCAAGTGTTGATCCTACAAGGCATATGATGTAAGAGTTAATACTACATTGATATGAATATGCTAACTTTGCTTTATGTGACAATAGTTTCCGCACAACAAGGCTCAACTAGGATTTGAAAGAAGTCCTTTAAAAATTGGGGCGAGGTTGATGCTCAAAGGCTTGTTCATGCTGGGATTATATATAAGTCAAAAATCAATCAAGCTCATACATTCAAACACGGGCAAAATTACGGTGTCAGCATCAAATTCACTCGCGCCTCAGACGAACAATTGGCGCTTCTCTCCTTCATCTGGGGACAGGTCCCTGACGCTAAACCACTTTCGGAGCCGAAGTGTCACAGGCTATGTGGAACAAAAGACACATGTATTAAAGTTACTAATACTGTAAAGTATCCTTAATATGGATCAATAGTAATAGGGGTACATTTCTGTAAGGCTATTAATGTAACGTAACAGGCCCTGACCCCCATCGTGACTTCCAGATTGTGATGAAACTACGGTTGCCCGATTTCTTCCCCCCGTTTTCCTCTGGTCGAGACCTTATCTTCCTTACCACTTCGTCACTCTTTGTCTTCCACTCTTCCACACTCTCTACAGTCGCTCTTTAGCCCAACACATTCTTTTTACTCCAGACTCGCTGTGCGATCTTGAATCCAATCCTTCCATCCCTTTCCAATCCCCGATTTTCGATCTCCAATCTTTCATCATGCTCTTCAACAAGTCCATCTTTGCCGTTGCTATTGTGGCTTTGGCTAATGTCGTGACTGCCGTGCAGACCCCGGCCTGTGTTCTCAAGGTCATCGGGTATGTTCGAAGGAATGGAAGGAATGCTAGTGGAGCCCTAAGCTGATGACATCTAGCAACCAACCCAACCCGGCCGATTCGAAGGCTATTTGCGGCTCGAACGCCAGCAAGGTCCAGTCCGATATCTCCAAGAACTGTGCCGATAGCGAGGCCTCCCTGAAGTTCTTCGCCAACAACTGCGGCCAGCTCGGTCACAAAGTTGGTAAGGATCAACACATCCCCGAGAGCACGTTATATCCTTGAATCGGTTACTTATTTATTATCTTCTCTTCAGAGACTGATTTTTCCACCGCTACCCGCACTTCTGAGACCTCTACCGCCACCGGCTTCGTCACCGCTGTCTCTGGCACTGCCACTCAGACTGGTCCCTCTGTCGTCGCGACTGGCACTGGCTCCAGCGCTGCCGCCGGTACCTCGGGAATCAGCACTGGCACCGCCTCCGAGTCTGGTGCCGCCGCATCCCCTACTTCTACCTTCAACGCCGCTTCGTCCGATCGCCAGTTCTCAACCACCTTTGTTGCCGCGGTGTTCCTCGGCGCTGCTGCTTTGCTGTAAGAACCCAGCATTAACCGAGAGGAACCTAACGCGAATATCGACGCGAGCATATATTATTAGCCTTGATGTTGCTCCTTCCGATCTGATTTGAATTATCCTTATTCAGGGATGTGATTCGAATTCTCCAATATGTTGCTCGTCTGATGCCAATATTTGAATCTCTTGAACCTTCATATCTTCTTATTTGCCAATACCACATTGATTTATGTGCTCTTCGCCTTCCTACAGAACAATTCTTGAAAAACGCTTAGGTCTGCCTCAATTGCCAATCAGTAGGTCGATGTGAACAGATTCCAATCAATGGCCAAAATATGCCGGCATGTTCCCCTTGTAGAAGAGAACGAATAGTCCATAGAACATACTCCTGAGGCCATCCCGCACCTCTCACCCCCTTGATGAGAGTACGATGTAGATCTATCACATGGATTTGTAATGCAGCAAGGGTTCGACCGTGGAAAGGATGGGTGGTGCATATGATGTTGACTAGGACATGAGTTGAATTTAAAGTTTTAAAAAATGAACTTCAATCTAGCCTTGGAACTTGGAGATCGTCTGAGCCCGGAATGCTTCAGGCCGCTCGCCGGCAGCCCTTCCGATGCCATGTTCCCATTCGTGACCATTCGCGTGTTCACGTGACCATTCACGACCTGCAGTTTGGCTGCAAGGCACATTTTCACCGCCTATTCTCGGTTCACACCGCCTTCCGTAGTAAACCTACGCTAAGATCGTTAGTGTTACTACGCTAACTTCATTTGGTATAAATGGACAGTTTCTGCCTAGCAGGATTGAGGTTGGAAAGGTGCCCAGGGTGGATCCCCTTGTTGGTAAGCTGAAAAAACGCGGGCACGCGAAAAGACAACGCGTCCACTCGGCAACCAAAGATTCCTCTGCCCCTCTGATCTCTTCTTCTTCTCACACCCCTCTACGGGCCTACAACTCACCTTTCCCCCCTTTCTGTATACTCTAATATCATCTCAATTCTCCTGCTGTGATCTTGATACCCCCCTGTTCACTTCTTTCTATTCTTTACAGCCCCTACAAACTCATCACTATTTCAAAATGTTCGTCTACAAGAGAGGTAAGTGCATACATGATCGTTTGATACACAGAGACATTGGTGGCGAGAGATAGCTTCTGCTCCCTCATCTTGCCACAGCCACCTGGTCTTGCCACGCTTTTCGAATGGAGGGCTAACGCGAATACAAATTGCAGATGGACGCAAGGAACGCGTGCAGTTCGATAAGATTACCGCCCGCGTCTCGAGGCTCTGTTATGGCCTCGACCCCGAACACATTGACGCTGCAGCCATCACCCAGAAGGTCATCTCTGGTGTCTACCAGGGTGTTGGCACCATTGAGCTGGATAACTTGGTATGTCTGCTCTCCTACCCCCAGCTTGTGACATTATGTTAATATTTAAATCTCAGGCTGCCGAGACCGCTGCATACATGACCGTTACACACCCTGACTATGCCATTCTGGCTGCACGTATCGCCGTTTCGAACCTCCACAAGCAAACAAAAAAGCAATTCTCTATGGTCATCTCCGATCTCTACCATTATGTGAACCCCAAGAACAATAAGCCTGCTCCTATGATCTCAAAGGAGCACTACGAGATTGTTATGAAGCATGCCGAGGAGCTCAACTCGGCCATCGTCTACGACCGTGACTTCAACTACAACTTTTTCGGATTCAAGACCCTCGAGCGTTCATACCTTCTTCGGATTAACGGTACCGTTGCTGAGCGTCCTCAGCACTTGCTGATGCGTGTTGCTGTCGGTATCCACGGCGAGGACATTGAGAAGGCCATTGAGACGTACCACTTGATGTCCCAGAAGTACTTCACCCACGCCTCCCCCACTCTGTTCAATGCAGCTACTCCCCAACCTCAGCTTGCATCTTGCTTCCTGGTTGACATGAGCGCGGACAGCATTGAGGGTATCTATGATACTCTCAAGACCTGTGCTATGATCTCTAAGACTGCTGGTGGTATCGGTCTGAATGTCCACCGCATTCGCGCTACCGGTTCTTACATCGGGGGAACCAACGGTTCATCCAACGGTATTGTTCCTATGCTGCGTGTGTTTAACAACACTGCACGTTATGTGGACCAGGGTGGTAACAAGCGCCCTGGTGCCTTTGCCATCTATCTGGAGCCGTGGCATGCCGATGTCTTCGAGTTCCTCGATCTGCGGAAGAACCACGGTAAGGAGGAGGTTCGCGCCCGTGACCTTTTCTACGCTTTGTGGACCCCCGATCTCTTCATGAAACGCGTTGAGGCCAACGGTGACTGGACGCTCTTCTGTCCCAACGAGGCTCCTGGCCTGGCCGATGTCTACGGTGAGGAGTTCGACGCTCTCTACGCCAAGTACGAGCAGGAAGGCCGTGGTCGCAAGACCATCAAGGCTCAGAAGCTCTGGTACGCCATTCTCGAGGCCCAGACTGAGACTGGTAACCCCTTCATGCTCTACAAGGATGCTTGCAATAGGAAGAGTAACCAGAAGAACTTGGGTACTATTCGCAGCTCTAACCTGTGCACCGAGATCATTGAGTACAGTGCCCCTGATGAGGTGGCTGTCTGCAACTTGGCTTCCCTCGCCCTCCCTACCTTTGTCGACTCTGCCCGAGGCGAGTATGACTTTGGCAAGCTCCACGAGGTCGTGCAGGTTCTCGTTCACAACTTAAACAAGATCATTGATATCAACTACTACCCCGTTCCTGAGGCGAAGAAGAGCAACTTCCGTCACCGCCCCATCGCTCTTGGCGTCAACGGTCTTGCTGATGCTTTCCTGGCTCTGCGCCTGCCGTTCGATTCCCCCGAGGCTAGACAGCTCAACATCCAGATCTTCGAGACCATCTACCACGGTGCCTTGACTGCATCCTCCGATATTGCCAGGAAGCTGGGTACCTATGAGACCTACCCTGGCTCTCCCGTCTCGCAAGGCATCCTGCAGTACGACATGTGGGACCGCACCCCCACCGATCTCTGGGACTGGGCCTCCCTGAAGGCCAAGATTGCCGAGACTGGTGTCCGTAACAGTCTGTTGGTCGCTCCCATGCCTACTGCCAGTACCAGTCAAATCCTGGGTTTCAACGAGTGCTTTGAGCCCTACACCTCGAACATCTACTCCCGCCGTGTCCTGGCTGGTGAGTTCCAGGTCGTCAACCCTTGGCTCCTGAAGGATCTGGTCGATCTCGGCCTGTGGTCCGACAACATGAAGAACCGCATCATCGCCGATGGTGGCTCCGTCCAGAACATCCCCAACATCCCCGCCGATATCAAGGCCCTGTACAAGACCGTCTGGGAGATCTCCCAGCGCAACATTTTGCAGATGGCCGCCGACCGCGGTGCCTACATCGATCAGTCCCAGTCCCTCAACATTCACTTGAAGGAGCCTACCATGGGCAAGCTCACCAGCATGCACTTCGCCGGCTGGAAGATGGGTTTGAAGACCGGCATGTACTACCTGCGTACCATGGCCGCCTCCGCCCCCATTCAGTTCACCGTCGATCAGGAGCAGCTCCTGGTCGAGGACACCAACGTCGCTCGCTCTAAGAAGCGTGTCGGCGGCACCGGTGCCTCCGCTTACTCGGCCATTCCCCGTAGCAACGGCGCCGAAGCCGCTACCGCTAAGGTCGCCACCCCTGTCGAGGAGACCCCGCGCGCTATGGCTGTACCTGTCGCTGCTGCACCTGTTATCGAGGCCAAGACCAACGACGCTGAAGCTGAGCCCGAAGATGCCGAGAGCAGGGCAGCGGAGGGCGATATCTACTCAGATGCTGCCCTGCAGTGCAGCATTGAGAACAAGGATGCTTGCATCATGTGCCAGGGTTAAGCTTTCTTTGCTTTTAATGCTTTTGGATGTTTCCCTTTTGATTTTTGTGCATGGTCATGTCTTCGGTCGTGGCTTCTCACGTGTACCCATATTATGATTTTGATGGACCTTTTCCCTCTTTTTTCCTTTGTTTTTTCGGCGTGGGTTCATGATATTTCCTGGATTTTCTTATTATTACTTCAATAACGTGTTATGTTATTCATTCTTCTCTTGTAAACCTTGTAGACAAGGGTAGATATTCCTCGTTGCACAGGACTAGTCTCATCGCATTGAATATCCCATTTTATATCATACACCCTGCGTATATACTCATCCCTGAACTTGCAAACCGCATTGCCTCTGATCCTAGTTCAGACCTTTGCATCTCTTAGCTTAGTCCGACACTGTGTCTTCATTGTTCATGATTGCTTTAAATTGACCCATAATTTAATGTAGATCAGTAAAGTAGATAGAACCTTAGTGTTCTTTACACACATATATATATATATATATGTATGTCCTTGGCAAAGGAGATTAAAGCTCCTAGGAAAGATAGAGTGCCTACTATTAGCAACTTCCTTCTAAGCAATTCAGCCTCGTTGTATATATCGTACGACTTGTCTCGCTGTAACCTGTTAACTATGTAAGAAGACTCGATATATTTACAAGCAAGGCTACATATAGATGACATCTACTATATTTGTTTCGACCTTTTATAATAAACATATAATAACATCTCTGGCTCATTACGCTTCCGTATGAAAGTGATCCATCTTCACATAGGCCGTAACAAACGCGTATCACTTGTGCTTCCTTCCACCGATATGGCTGGTGAGGTAACTCGGCAAAAGAGGCTTTCATACTCGATCCATGCACCTCCCTGGGTGGTGATGGCGGGACATGTTGGTTCTGTATAACCATCCAAGCTGGCATTGTTTCTGGCGGGGAGATTATCTTGTCATTCTTGTGATCGGGCTTTCTTGTCTTGAGATAGAGAAGGGAACCCAAAGCGCACAGTATCGGGAATCCAACACCGATACCGATTCCCATTGCGATCTTTCCGGTCATAGTTAACTCGGATGTTTGGAGAGAAGCCGAGTCGGGAGAAGACGAAGATGACGATGATGAGGGGAAGGGTTCAATGGCAGTGTCTGGCATTTTCGTCGATGTAGGTGCAGATGTAGAC